GTAATTGTTTTAAAATTTTGGATACTGCTCCTAACAAAAGCAAATTGAAAATTAAAGAAGCACTCTATATTAAATGGGAAAACCCATCTTTAAATAAACAAACTGTTCATTATAATATAAATTTCTCAATCTAGTTTTTTTATTTTTTTATTTACTTATAACTTTTTTTTTACTATTATGGTATTTTGTATTATAATTTATATTGGTTTGTAACAATTCTATTTCTCTGTTTTAATATTTCTCTGTAATGTCTTCATATTTTGATTTTATATTTATATCTAGAGTTTTAAATTGTAATTTTATCTTTTGAAAACATAGTATGTTAACTACGAAACATATCAAGATAAAAAATGTTGTGTGTTTCCTTTATATAAGTTCACATATTTATATATTTCACATATAACACCCTATAAATAAAATTTCGGACAAATTTTAATTGCATTTATTATGTAATTTATTTCATGCACGCAAAAAATCTTTATACTTATTTGAAAGAGGATTTTATAATCTATTTAAATTTAATTTAATTAAGTTAAAAATATTATTTAAATACTGAAAATAAAATGGTCAAAGTAAAGGACCTCGAAAAAATGATGGCAATTTTTTTCCCAAAAAAATTGAGAAAAAGGTAAAGCATTTGTTGCTAAGCAGTTTATGGAATGGCATTTACCCAGATCAACTGCTTACGATAAAATTGTAAAATTAAGGAATGGATCTCTAAAAAGAAAAGTTGGAATCAGTCGAATCGCCAAGGTAGCTATTAAAGAAAATATTCCAAAGATTGCTGCATTTTTTGAAAATAAGTCAGGGTGCTCCCAAAAGAAAGTAGCTCAAGTATTTAACTGTAGTCAAACTCAAATTTTTCAAGTAGTAAAAACAATGACTAACATTCGAACTTTCAAAAAAAAAATTGTCTAGATCTTAGCCATCAGCATAAGAAAGCTTTGCGTCCTAAATGTTGTAAATTGTACAAAAATTATAAAAACTTGGATTTTGTTAAAAATGATAAAAGCTATTTTACCTTCAACAATAGCACATTAGCTGGTAATGATAGGTTTTATGCCGCTGATCTTTCTCAATATTCTGACGAGGTAAGGTACTATTTGCGTAAAAAGTATGAGGACAAGCTCTTAGTTTCTTGTTGCATCAGCCCCCGTGGAATAAGCCCTTTTTATATTCATCACAGTATACAGGCAATCAACCAGTACACTTATAAAGAGGTACTAGAAAAAACTTTATTTCCTCTAGTATCAGAATATTATAAAAGACATGAGTTTATCTTCTGGCCTGATTTAGCTTGATCACATTACGCTAAGTCAGTCATTGACATTTTAAAATTGAAAAAAATCAAAGTTGCACCCAAAGATATAAACCCAGCTAGCGTTCCAGAAGCAAGACCAATAGAAAACTTTTGAGGTGGTTTAAAACGGCTAGTGTATGAGAATAATTGGAGAGCTGAGAATTTGGAAGAGCTTGAAGCAAGAATTAGATATTGCTATTCAAAGATGAATAAAGAAATTTTCCTTACTCAAATAAAACATCTTTCAAAAAAACTTTATAATATTGCTAAATATCGTATTTGAAATAATTATTTAATATATTTATAAACTACATATACTAACATATTAACAGTTGAAATATTAAATGATAAAAGTTGTTAGTTCTTAAATATATTTTCAAATTTTGTCCAAAATTTGACTTATGAGGTCTATATATATATATATATATATATATATATATATATATATATATATATATATATATATATATATATATATATATATATATATATATATATATATATATATATATATATATATATATATATATATATATATATATATATATATATATATATATATATATATATATATATATATTTATTTATTTATTTATTTATAATTACCCCCTAAAAATAAATTTATACTAAATTTATAAAATTTTTAAATAAAAAAATTTTTTAGGGGTTGCTCAAGACCCTTAAACATCAGATGGATCCCTAATATTTTGAAAAAAAGTTCTTTAAAAGCATATCATGTTGGGTCTTAAGAGAAGTGAAATTTTATAAAAATTTCAATAATAAAAAAAATTTATAAAAACACAAATTCAAAATGTTTATTTAAAAAAACTATGAAAATATGCACTTTTTTATTTTTTGTTAAAAAATAATAGTTTTTAAGCCATATGATTTAAACTTTATATGAAATAATTATTAATTTTGAAATTTTTATAAAATTGCACTTTTTTTTGAGACTCAACATGATATGCTTTTAAAGAATTTTTTTTTTCAAAATATTAGGGACCCATCTGATGTTTAAGGGTCTTGAGCAACCCCTAAATTTTTTAAATTTAGTATTAATTTATTACATAAAACATATATAGGGGGTTTCATTAAAAACAGATTTTTAAGAGGTTTAGATAAATATTTTATGATATAATACAGCTAATAATAGTACTTAATATATAATCAAACAAATATAATACATAATCAAACTGTCACTAGTTAATAATATAATCATACACACTGTCACTAGTCACATAAATCACATAATGCTTCACCAGTAATAACAGAAAGTAACATCAGTCTGAATGAGCCCAAGTTGTAAATTTTAAACATTGACTCTGCTTCGATACTTTTGCAGCTATATTCCATAATCCATTGCAAAAACATTCACAGTTTTCAACACTTAAACTTTACCCTTTCCTAATGCCCATTTATTTTCTATTTTTTGTTCTTTTAACTTTTTTGATTTTTCAGAAGATTCAAATAGTAATTTTCTATGTGATGTTGTTATTATTTGTGATTTTTTTCTTTTCTTTTGTATCTGATTCTACTTTTCTTGGTAGTGATTTTTGAAACAGTGATCTTTGAAATAGATAAAATATTAGAAAAGCAGGGTATTACTATATTAAAATCAATATTTTATGAACATCCTGACAACAACGGTAGTAAGATGCTTGAATTAACTTGTGAATCAATTTTATCAGGTTAATGTAAGTTGGTATTAGAGCTTTTGTCATTATTAAACTTAATGTCTTGAATTATATCCTGACACAAAAGATAAATTCCAGATGTACGAAAGCCAGAACAGGCAACTTCAACAGAAGCAGCTTTATGATATGCTTTAGAGAATATATCTCTAAGTTGATCATTTGTTATTTTTGTCCAGGATGCTCATTTAACCATGATCCACATTATATATTATAAAAAGTTTTAAGCGGTTTAAAACAACAGTTGTCGTTGAGGTGTAACAACAACTGTTGTTACACTTCAACGACAACTGTTGTTGTTCATCACTAGTTACAGATGTTGTTCGCCACTAGTTACAGATGTTGTTCACCACTAGTTACAGATGTTGTTCACCACTAGTTACAGATGTTGTTTACTACTAGTTACAGATGTTGTTCACCACTAGTTACAGATGTTGTTCACCACTAGTTACAGATGTTGTTCACCACTAGTTACAGATGTTGTTCACCACTAGTTACAGAAAAAACACAATGTTTTTCTTTTATTGGTTTAACTTTAATAGATTTATGAACAGTTGTAATGCCTGATTCATCACAGTCAAAAATTTGATAAGGTTCAAACTTGTACTTTTTCATAACAACTTCTATATCATTGAAATAAATGTTCACAGAATTTCTTTTTAAGCCATAAACACGATTTAAAGACAACCCTTAAGGCTTTCTGATTGAAAGGTATGGATGTCTCTTTAAAAACCTGCTTACAATCTTTAAAAATCTCTTCCTGCAACACCATTATACTTATTAAATGGATGAACTATTTTGTACTTTTCAACAAACTGGCAACTTGTTGAATGTCACTTATAGACAATCCATTCCTTTTATGTAATTAACTAATTGACTTTCAGTATCATCTGGCAATACTTAAGTTTTAGTATCATCTGGCAATAATTGAATGAATAAAGTGGTTATTTATGTATAATAGTCTAAACTCTTTAATTTTCTTTAAATCCTTCTGTGCATCTTTATTTACAATAAATATCAAAGCTACTATTCTCAATGAGATTTCTTTTAATTTTAACATAACATGCTCTGCTCAGATAAATTGCCACATTTAGTTTTTCTCATATAGTTTCTAACCATATTTAACTTTTAAAATAAACATGGTTGATATCGGCGAAACAAAAAAAGCAAAACGTCTCGTTTTGCCCCGCAACATATTAGCATCGAAATTGTGTAATTTTCTGACAATTTTGTCATAGAAATAAAATATCAATATATGGAAATGAAAGAGTAATGCCTAAAGAAAATAAAACACTAACTTTGAATATAAAATTTTTTTCCACTCCGTAAGATAAAAAAACACTGAGAAAAATTAAAATAGCAACGCATCAAAATTCGTAATTTTCATAGAAGATAAAATGATTGCCAAGAGATAAAATGATTGTCGTTCTCTTCATCTTATTCATTTCAAAGTGACTCAAGATATTTTTTGTAACACTTAATTAAGAACACAACTAAACTTTAAAAACCATTAAAACAATAAATTGCGAGATTAGGATCATTATAAATGCGATCTGTCTCATTTTGCCCCGCTGTCTCATTTTGCCCCGTCTTACCCTATATTAAAACATTAATTAACATTGTAGTATATTAAACTTTAACAGTCAATAGTAATCTGTTGAAGTAAATATTAATTAGCTGTAATACTATTACATTATGTATAACAAACTACATTGCATAATACATTATATATAACAAAATATATTGCATAATACATTATATATAACAAACTATATTACATAATGCATAACAATCTTACATTCACATTTTATTTTGCATTCATGGTATCAAAATTCTGTTTAATTTGATTGGTAAATTTTTAATTATGGAAAAAATATTTAGCGAGAGAATTTCTTTAATTATCATTAAAATTATATTTTTGTTAAAGTTACTATAACTTCAAAGTTTATTTTGTAATTTTTTTTAATTTTGTATTTTTCATTTATAATAATAGCATGATTAAATTGCAGGATGAAGAGTTAAGAGGAAATGGAGAAGCTACTTCAATCTATGTTGAAGAGCCAGGTGGTGAAGAGACTACTAGTTTATCTAAAACTGGTAAATATGTTTTTTTTAAGAATTAATAAATTTGATAGAATCAAACAATAAAACAATCTTTTTTGGTATAAATTTATTTAATGTCATTTTTTTTAAATTATTACTATGCAATTATTATTTTAAGATAATAATTTTCACTAAATAACTCTCACGCTTCACAATTTATTATTTTGTTATTTGTGCTAACCTACTGTTTTCGCGTTGATTTTTCTTATAAGATTTTAATTTTCTGACAATCGTAGTTACCTGATATGTATATGATATTTCTAGTTGCCATTTTTTATGGATGTGTTAAAAATCTGTAATTCTGTTGTGATTCTCTGTTGGTTTGTTTTATGTTAAAAAATAATTTCAAAGCTATATGAGAAACTTCTATAAAATGGCTGTCTCCCTTTTTTTACTGTTAGTAAGAGTTATTTTGAAATTGAAAACCTCTTTTGATTCTGCCAATATTATCCTCTTTTGATACTATGTTTTACTAACAGTTTTTTGAAAATGATTATTGTAATAAATGTTAAGTTGAAAATGTACTTGTTTTTTTTTTTTTTTTTTTTTTTTTTTTTTTTGTAGTTATTAAGGTGCTCCCAGAAGTCCTTACGGTCTTATCACAGATCGCCGCGGAAGAGCATTCAACTAGGAAATTCACGCTTCCTTCCTTACCAATATTATTTATTGGGCTAGAGCCAGAGCTCCAATCACTGCGCCACGGCTGCATAAAGCCGTTTTATAAGTATAATATACATATATAAGTATTTTATATATGTATATAAGTATTTTAAAATGAATAAAGCTTTTTATATATATAAGTAACACCAGTACCATAAAATTGTAATAAAAACACGATAAGAAAAAGATTATTGATATGTTCATAAAATGAAATATGCAGAATACAAAAATAATTTTTTTTTATATGAATCCATATCTTCGAATTCGGTCAAGTCTGGTATTGGTACCTTGTACCAGCATTTGTACACCATTTAAGTCACTTCTACTGGTACAATACTAAATCCAATGCTCAAGGTTTGATATATTATTTGTAGACCATCCATTCTTGTACACATCCCGCTTAACAATCGCCCAAAAATCCTCTCTAGCACGAGCTTCTTTCTGGCAAGTTTGCTGGATTTTCTTTTTTTTGAACAAATGGTATCTCCTGGGTTTTCAGACAATTCGTTACCAAATTATCATAGTGAAATGTTGCAAACTTGGGCCAAAAGATGTATTTGTTGTCTCGGTAATATTTATTAATAAAAGGTTCCAAGCGCTTTTGTAACGACTTTTTTAAATATATTTCTTGATTTATTGCTTGGTTAAAATAAACAATGTAAACTGGTGTGACTCCTTGGGGGGTTTGTCATCCGTACAAGTATTTTTTTTCCAAATTTGATACTTCATAACACGTCAGTGTCTTGTGTCAAATTTTGTTCATTTGAATAGCATGTATTATTACCAGCCAATGGTATTCGAAAGTAAGACTCATAAAGTAAAAGTAAGACTCGTAAAGTAAGACTCATCGTCAATAAGAAATTTGTGGTCACGATCTTTTAAATAAAGTCGACCACAAGTCTCTTTTCTGGAGTTCTGCCTAGACTTTTATTGGTTTATAACAAAAAATAGTTTTAAAACATTTTTAAATTCGTCCGATGGTGCTTTTTCTACAACCGATAGTGATTCGTCCCATGGTGCTTTTTCTACAACCAAACCTTCGAAATTGATACACCCTTCGATGGTTAAACGTTATCCTTAATTTAACGCGGTTTTGTGTATTAAAAGTAAGCCCTTATCTACTTCCAGCTTTCCGACCCAATGGTTTATTTTGATTATAACCATTCATATATCTATAAATTGTAGCTTTTGAGTAGCCTTACATCTAGAAATGGTTTCAAACGACGTGTTTTCCATCTTCATGCTTTTTTCGATAAAAATTGTACACACGACCTTTTAGGGTTTATTGATTTGCCATTTAACTTATCTAAGCAAAAAAAAGTTAGATAATTTATATACTACTTGATAGAGGAAAGATTTTGATATTAAATACTTATTATTTTATCAAACAAATTAACAATCGATAATTAAAGCTTGCCTCTAATTTTATGGCACAGGTTTATATAAGTATTTTAAAATGGCCTCAAATGAATAAAGCTTTTTCTTTTCATTTTTTTAATTTAAATTTAAAAGAACTTAAAATTTAAGGACATTTTTTTTCTTAGACCTAAGTTAGGTATCTAATTATAATATATTTGTTATCTATTTTATTATCTTAAGTGTTATTATTAAATATATCCTTATTTATTATTATTAAATATATACTTATTATTAACATTATTAAATATATACTTATTTATTATCGTTAAATGTTATAATTAAATATAAAGTTTAATTTTATTTCATGATAATAAAAGTGAATGCAATAAAGGTTTTAAAGGTTGACTTTATAATATTATTTTATTAAACAAATGTTAAAAAATAATTATTAAAGATAATGATTTACAACGTATTACTCAATATGAAGTAAAGCATAAAATATAAAAAAGCTCATTAAATATAAATAATGTATTTTAAAATAGTTTAATAATTCATTATTCTTATCGTAGTTATATTAGTTGCCAAGCATGTGTTTATTATGATGTATTAAATCATTTTAAATTTGTTTTAAAAGACTTATTTTTTTCAAAAAGAAAGATTTTTTCATTAATTTTTTTTTTATAGTTTTCCGAAGCTACCTAGGTGAAAAGACCTTGGAAAATGTAAGTTGCCAAACGTGTGACCAAGTACCTTTATCGAAAAACGATTATAATGAATTTTGTAAAGAAAAAGATGAACAACCTGATATTCGAAGAGCAGAAAATGTTGATTATGTTTCATTAACTGAAAATTCACCATGTGCAACGTGCATAAAAAGAAAGGAATGCAGTTTAAAAAATCAATTCATTAATGAATCACAACAGCTTATTAATTGCCATTTAAGAGTTTGCAATGATAACTCCCAAGTATTGGAGTGCAATGAATGTCGTAAACAATTTTTGTACAAGCAATTGTTCTCTGATTTTACTACAAAAACTGTTTTTTTGAATATAAATGTTTCAAGAGACGCTGAAAAAAACTTGGAAAATATTTCAAAACCATTTAAATGTTGTGTTTGTTGTAGAGCATTTCTTACCAGAGAGGAAATGAAAGAACACGAGGTTAAGCATGTAAACACATCTTCTAGGTATACTTGTGCAACTTGCGGTGCAAAGTTTACTACGAGAGTTCAACTTGAAGAACATTATGGTTCTGACAGTAATGAGTGTTCACCTAGAAAATGTGAGATTTGTGACAAAGTGTTTATTCATGGTAATCATTTGAAAAGGCATATGACAATTCATGCAGGTCTTAAACCTTTTGTTTGTCCGATATGTGACCATGAGTTTAATCAAAGGAGTGATCTTCAAAGACACCATAAAAGGCATCTTTTATCAGATGGATCTTATGTATGCAATAAATGTGCAAAACGATATGAAAGCATTGAAAAGCTTAAAAATCATATAATAATAGAGCATAAGTTAGATGAAAACTCTAAATCTAACATATTCAAATGTGACCGATGTGATAAAGTGTTTGGTCGGAAATCTCATTATAAACGTCATCTAAGTATTCATGATGGCTTAAAACCGCACGTTTGCCAAGTTTGTTTTAAGTCATTTAATCAAAAGACCGATTTAAATAGACACACAATGACTCACTTAAGAAAGCATATGAATATTTATGGAGAGAATTCTGAAAACACTTGTGAGGTTTGCAATAAAACATTTACAACTCAAGCAAAATTTGTGGAACATTACCTAACTCATCAAAAAATAACGGTTTACTAATTTATGTTTAATCAAGTGCGTTTTTAAGTTTAGCGTTAGTATTTGTTTTAGTTTTCGTTTCGTTTTAGTATTTGTTTTTTCGATCTTACTCATTGCAAAAACGAACATTCCAAAAATAACGCATAACGCAAGGAACATTTCAAAAACGAAACAACTTTTGTTGTTTCTTTTTTGTTATTTCGTTTTCGTTATTTTCATATTTTTGATTTGTCTTGTACATGTATATAATCTAACATTTATTGCCAATCTTGTTTAAATTTTAATGTTTAGGTCAAATTATTTTATTATGTCAATTTTTTAAATTTCATTTTCCAGTCTTATCACAAGAAGTTTGAAATAAAGCAAATTTATATGGGAGGCAAAAGTTATATATATTTTTTTGTTTCATAGATAATTTATTTTGATTCAATTAAATTTTATTGAGTTTTTTTTTAAAATACTAATAAATTAAATTAACAAAGCTTGTTGAGATGGATTCTGGAATGGATAGATCATTTAAAGCTTTTGGTGAATCGTTATCTATAGTAATAGCGCTTATATTTGGATCAGCTGGAACATTAAAATTTTTTCCTTCGATATCACCAGAAATCAACAAAAAATTTGTTAGTAGTTTTAATTTATTATACAAATATATTATAAAACTAAATTTTTAAGTTTCTAAAAGTATTATATAAACATTTCACTTTTAAAAAGAGATAGTTACAATTTTTTTTAATTAATATAACCCCTTCCCAGTATTAAACCAATCTTACAGGAAAATATGTAAAACTTTTTAAAAACGTCATTTGATAATTATACGAAATTTACGAATTTATTTGATAATTATACGAATTATACGAATTTATTTTGATAATTATACGAAAGATAAATTAATTTATACGAAAGGTAAATTAATTTATACGTAAGGTAAATTATGTATTGATAAAAATATATATATACATTAAATTTCGAGTTTTAGAAACTGAGGTTTATTTTTTTTTTTAGGTTGCTGAGTTTATTAAATACGCCAAAATTCACCCTGCCGTTAGTTATGGCTATGTTATTGATGCTAATAAATTCATGGAGCTGATTGCAGTAGTTGAAATTATTTGCTCTCTACTGATTCTATTTGGTCCTCGTATGTTAAAGTTATCAAGCTGTTTAGTTTTTACGTCAATAATTATAGGGGCGTTGTATTTTCTTTACACCTTAAACGAACCGTTCTTGTACTTATTTTTAAACTCTATGCTGCTCCTCGTGCTCTTCATAAGATTGCATCTCTTTTATTTTCCGTTCATAAAGAAGTGCGATCAAAACGAAAATGAAAGCGCAACAAAGAAAGAAAATTAATTTTTAAAATATTCGTTTGTTGGTTATCAAATCGATTGAAATTTTTCATGACTCATAAAAATATTGCAAAATCTTCCTTAAATTATCTACAAAATATCTTCACATCTTTTTGTTTGATACTGAACTTTACAATTATGTTTTAGAAATTAGTGTTATATATTTATTAAATGCAGCAAAATATTACATTTTCCTTTAAAGTAATTTCGGCGTTGCCGAAAGAGATCATATTAAACGCTGCGACTAAGTGGAATTATACTTTGGTGTTTAAGAAATGACAGATCCAAGGGTAACGGACGAGTTATCCACCGGTAAAACTTTCCTATTTTTATGTATTTATTAAAGTGCTCCTCCTTTTTTACAATATCCTTTATTAAAAAATTCAAGTTAAATAAATTCATAAAAAAGTTGTCCATCCATCTCTGTCACTGTTATTACTATTTGATATGCTTATCACTTTTAGCATAAATTTTCTTTTTCTTTTGCTACTTTATTTCTCGGATAAATATTCCTGATATTTTATTTTTTGACTGCCCTGACTTCTTTGATCCAGCATTAGGAAACAGCTTCATTTTTTTAGACTTTAGTGAGTTTAGTAGAAACATTGGATTAGTTAACCCCTAAGGGCAGTTTTTTTTAAAAGAATTACACTACCTGGTGAGTCTGATGCAGACTTAGCAGTAAATGATTAAAAGCATGGATATTAATACTATTTGAAACAGCATTTAGAAACATAACGTTAAAAATTTATTAGCAACAGATATATAAGGATTTAATTATTATTTAGGATTTAGTTATTATTAGGATTAATTATCGAGTTCAAATCCTGCCAAAATGTTTGCAAGAATGAAAACTTTTGCATGAGTTTTACTTAAATTAAAACATTTAACATTTTGAATAAAACATTGCATCTATTCTAATAATGTTGCAGCATTCATACAACTGGACGGATCAGCAACTCAAACCATTCAAGTGGGCCATCATTTAAAAGATTACAAGATAATGATATGGTACCACTGGTCACGAGATAAAATGATATACCACTGGAGTACTACGAGTGTAATGTGCTAGAGAAAGTTTATATCCGGTAATGGTGATTACATATTTTATTAGTGATATGCAATTTTTGAATGATGTTAAAGTTGGAATGAAGTCAGATCCATTTTATGATGACAAGATTGGAGATTTCATTGGCTCCGTTGACTATCTAAAAAGTTACTGCTCTTATGAAAGTACCTTATTAAATACAACTTGTACCATTTTTGATTATTTGATTTGACACTTGATAATTTGGACCCTCATCAAGTTTTTTATGGTCTGACACAAGAACAAATTTAGACGTTGTCTATAATAACATTAAACAGACACCAATACTGAATGACAAAGTAAATGTATTGTGGTTATTAAGGTGGTTAAAAAATTCCTTACGGTCAAAGAGCACCGTGGAAAAACATTTAACTAGAGAGTTCACGCTTTCATACTTATCGATGCTGCCCAGTTCTGAACCAGAACTTTAATCACAACGCACAGCTGCTACCATTCAACCGGTAGAACATCAAATAAATATTGTTTTGTTTTTAAATTTTTAATTATTAATTTTCTAAACTAGTAAATGATAAAGATTTTGTTTGAAGGTACTAAACTAAAATACTAAAAAATCCTGGATCTACCTTTGCTAGCTGCTCATTCATGTAAGTTATGGGCTTAGATTATAATTGGTTTTAATTTAGTACTAAACATTTCCATTATTTTTTATAGTTATGTATGTTTTTGAATTCTAGTTTCTCATTAAATCAAGTAAAACGTTTAAAGTAACAAATTGATTTCTTTGCATTGAAGCCAGATAGAAATGATAGGAATGCCATCTAATATGCTTCAAAGTTTTTTTATGCATTTATTTTTAGAATGAAACACTCCAACTAGTAGAAAATGTCTCATAAACTCATGAAGCTCATCAACAGTGGTGTCTTTTAATTCTACGAGCATTCGGAATTACAATTAAAATCCAGTTATAACAGTTCTTATAAACTTTCATTATGGCCACTATTTGTGCTCAACAAAAAAAGAAACAAAATCTTCTCCAACTTTGGTATTTGAGAACGTTGGCGTTGCTGGAGACGCTAGGTTTGTTAATGGAGAAGTTGGTAAAACTGATGCTGTCGATAGTGACGGCCCTACTGGCATTTGTTTTTAAAAGTTACGTTCTAAATGTCTTTTAAACGTTCTTTACCTAAGAATGTTTAGAAGACGTTTAAAAGACATTTAAAATACATTTAGAACGTAACTTTAAAAAAAAATGCCCGCTGGGGGTGGTGTTGATGTTAAAGCAAATGGGAGACGGTACTGTCAATACTTCTGATGATGTTAGTGATTTCGGTTGGAATGTTTGTTGATACTCTCTTAGGCGTGCTCTTTAAGTTAAGGCAAATAATGGAAGGATAACGGTGTTCAAAGCTCTTGAAGGTGTTGAAATTATTACTTTAGTTCCTTGTAACTTAAATTACAATTATTGCAAAATGTTTCTATTTCTAACAATTAGTCAACCTGTTCCTTCAACTTTAATAACATATTGATCATTTTCTCTGCATTCAACAACTTTTCCAATGCGATCCTATTTTGTAGGGTAACTCCTTTCTTGATTCTGTATAAAAATACTCTCCATTATGTAGCGGTGAAAGAATACATAAATGTTTTCGAAAGAATTTAACAGTCTTAGCGTATCTTACAAAAACATCACTCTCGAGATCATCATTTGGTTCATTGTTTTCCAGAAAGCGTTTTGTTGATTTAATTACAAGTTCAGCTCTTCCATTAGATTGAGGATGGTGAACTAATAAAATGCAATTGGTTATTCCTCATTGTTGAAAAAATTATTTTGTTTCGCCAGCGGTAAATTGAAAACCACTATTAGCTGATATTCTTTCCAAAACTCCAAACGTGATGAATTGATGTCTACGTACCCTAGTCAAAAAGTCATATAGAATATCCTATAAAAAGAATATAGAACATTCCTATAAGAAATTGAAACAGGATTTTCTATTGTATAACGCAATTAAATACAAACTATAGGAGATTCTTTAGAATAGGATTCCTACAAAATCCAGTTCCAAAATCTTATAGGAGTCTTATCCTATAAGACATTATATATAAAAGTCCTATAGGTATAGGCGTACAGGAGTTTTATCATATAAGACACTCAATAATTCAATAATTCTTCCATATACCACGCTCATTGATATTAAAATATAAAAGTCGAAAACATTTATGTATTCTTTCACCATAAAAGTCCTATAGGTATAGGCGTACAGGAGTTTTATCATATAAGACACTCAATAATTCAATAATTCTTCCATATACCACGCTCATTGATATTAAAATATTTTTTTTATTGCTTATTGCCTTTATCCAGTTTTGCCGTTCTTTCGAAAGCTTGTTTTTTTTTTTTTTTTTTTTTTTTTTTTTTTTTTTTTTTTTTTTTTTTTTTTTTTTTTTGTTCTTTATTACAATATTTACAAATATATAATAAGAAAAATTTACATGCAAAAAAATCGTTACAAAAAAATAAAGAATTAAGATAAAGAACGCGGAGACCATACAGGTCTTGAACCGCTGTTGAAGAACTTTGATCTTAGTTTAGATTTTAGGAAAAACAAAAATAAATAAACACAAGTTTTTAACTTTTTTAAGTTATGGTCTTTATGGCTGGAATTAAAGTACTAATTCTTCTGGACCGGATGATTCAAGCGAAAACAATAATATCATAGTATTCTTAATAAATAAATACGTCTCGCATCTGACTCGATCACTGATTCTTATTACTCAAATCTATCAGTTACACTGATCTTAATTGTTAATTAATTAATAAATAAACGAAAATAATAAGAATATGATTGCACTAGGTACATCCAAATGCACTTCAAGATTGTCCAAAAGATTGTGTAGAAGAATTTAGATAGCCAAATGATGTGTGATGTCATTGTGTGAGAAGCCATAATTATCAAATGTTGGTGCATTTACGTTAACGCTTTCGCCGACAAAAATGCTAAACCACTGTCAAAGGATGATTAACTTCCAAAAGTATCATACATACAATGTTTGCAGATACATCCAGTCACATACATTAAATATTTTTTTTGTATTTTTTTTTTTTTTTTTTTTTCTTTATCCCATACAACTTTATCCCATCCAATTATTATTATTATTATTATTATTATTATTATATTTTCTTTGCCGTATAATTAAATTTACAATGAGAAAAAACCATTCATGTATAAAAATTGGCCGGAGCAAGAAGAAGACATAAACTGTCTTATCGCCAAGCCCCGTTTACATTAACGTCACAAAGTTACAAGTTAAAAACTAAAAGGTTAAAAATTGAAGTACAATACAATATTAGTTCGACAAATATAAGACACAAGTAATAAATCGAATAAATGTTATTTGTCTGTTCAAAATTAATAGTATATATATTTTTTATTTTAATAAGAAATAAACAAGATACACAAGACAATAGTAAATGAGTAGTGATGACTTTTTCAGGTTTAATTATTTTTGGTGATTTTAGAAGAAATCTTTAAAATCGAAAGTTTTTTCTAATAGAAAACGTTTAGATTCTCTTTTGAATTGTTCTAAGGAGATGCCTCGAAGAATTTTATTTTTAATTATGTTTTTTAAAAAACCTTTCCATATAAATGGTCCCCGGTATTGAATTTGAAATGAATTGAGTTTTAAATAAGATCTTGGAATAACAAAATTATCAGATGAAAATTTAGTGGGATATTTATGAGATATTTCGGTAAAGTAAGACTGAAATATATTAGGAGATAACGCATGTTTTGTTTTAAACGTAAATAGGATAACTTGGTATATATTAAGTTTGTAAATATTAAGCACATTAAGTTTCTTTAAAAGAGATTCACCATTAACAGTTCTGTTAACGCCAAAAATAATCCTACAAGCATGTTTTTGTTTGCTATAAATTTTTTTGAGCTTCCCATAATTGGTACTTGCCCATGCAAGATTACAATAGGAAAGGTAACTATGAATAAATGAGAAATATATAATTTTTAAAGATTCCGTATTAAGAAAAGGTTTAACTTTATATAGCATTGAAATATTTTTGGAGATTTTATTTTCAATAGATCTAATATGATATTTTTATGATATATTTTCATCTAATATCACTCCTAGAAAGTTAATAGTTGACTCTCTTTTAATAACTTTTTTGTTCATAAAGAGATCAGGTAGTTTTAAAAAAAGGTTATCACCTTTACTAGGTTTGTGGAACAACATAAATTTAGTTTTCCCAACATTTAATGAAAGTTTATTATTCGTAATCCATTCATTTATTTTTAATAACTCTTCATTAAAAATTCTAAACAGATCTTTAATATTTCTGTTAGAGCAAAAAAGATTTGAGTCATCAGCAAACAAAATAACGTTTAGAATTTTGGATGCTAAATACAAATCATTAATGAACAGTATGAATAATAAGGGCCCTAAGATTGATCCCTGGGGAACACCACAAGTTATGATATGTTTTTTTTCTTCATTTTCTGTATATATTATGTATTGTTTCCTGTTTGAATTAACAAACATAGTTGACTTGTTGAATTATTAACAAACATAGTTGACTGTTCAATTATTTTCCAGTGATTAATACAGGTGCACAAAATCTAAACACGTTAAAAACACTGTTGATGGTGGATAGCACTTTTCTTATTTTTATAAGTTCTTTATTTCCATTTTTGATACAAGAAGGCGTTGGTTTAATTACAAACTCAGCTCTTCCATTAGATTGAGGTTGGTGAACTAATGAAATGCAATGGGTTAATTACAAGAATTTCGTTGTTAATAAGACCGTAAAGTCAATAAATAGTTAATCTGTTTCTTTATTCCAAGAAAGCCCAAGCATTTTTGTTGATTTGCACTCACCGTCATTTTCCAATTTGTTTAAGTTACTATGCCATTTGTGCAGCTGGAACCCTGCTTCCTTCCAGATTTGCGTTGATTCATTTTTAAACCTGATAAGTTCTTCTACCGTCTCTTCCCCTGATTCCAGATCATCAACATAAGTATCTTCTTCAAAGGCCACGTTGTTTTTGAATAGATATTCATTTTCTTTGATTACCACTTGATGATGAATGTAGCGAATGATCTATCCCGTAGGTATTTCTGGTAGGGGAAGTAAAGGCATAACCGCATAAGGAGGCACAACCGTTTTTTAACATTTCCCTTAGAAAAATATTATCTAATATGGCAAAAAATATACAACGTGTTAGTAAAACAGTTTCCTTCATTTTGCATATGTCAAAAAGTGTGCTTGTTACGTTTCTGTGAAATTGTGCATAATAATGTTTATTTTGATAAAAATTTTATATTTAAATCATATTTTTCCAGATCTTTTTTTTGAGAATTAAGCAATATTTGATTTTAGTGTTAAAGACATGTGTTATCAGCATTATTTCATCAAGTGAAAACCATTTTTGATATCAGCATAATCTAATAAGCAAGCTATGAAACTGAATTCTTTCTAAAAACTCTCTTCTGGGACAAAACTCTCTTCTGAAGCAGAACTCAAAATGTAAATATAAAGAACGCCTGCAAATTATGCAAACATGCAACAAAATCATCAAATAATCTAAGCTGTGAAAATTGTAAAGAAAATGTACTATGAAAGGTGTACCCCCAATGATTTTTGTGAGGGTGCGGTTGTGCCTCACAATGGGGGCAAAACCGTTTTTTTCACTAATTGTACTTTTTGTGAAATAACATTTTCAAAAACCGTTCAATTTTTTTCATAGTTGCATCAATTTAAAGCTTAATGATGAGGTTATTAAAATAAACTAGTAAAAAAACACATTTTGTTTTTATCTTCATCTAACATTATTCCAAACTTTACGGGGGCGGTTATGCCTCCACTTCCCCTACTACTTCCAATAATCTTTGATTGATCTGTTCCATTACAACGTAGTTATATTATTTTAGTTTATTAAGTTTTTCCAAACGTGTTATTGTATCTTTTAATTGTCTAATAGCCAGATTCCTGTTGTCTGGCACTTTGACAACTTCGATTTTTATGGCATCCTAGTTTCATAATATCCTTTGTTGGTTCGAGTTAGCAGTTTTTTGTTAAAATCTTGGTGGAACATTGATTCACTGTTTGCGTCTGATAATGCCATTATTTCTGGACTATGTATTTACTCAAACAACTCGCGACCAGCGTTCAATAAGAAAGTCTTTTCAATAACTGAGTTTAATGATACACGTCTCCCACCAAGAGTCCATCCCACATAGTAAATTATGTTTCTGGATCAGGTTTTTTCCAATAATAACCGGTTCCGTAGTTTTTATTCGTTAATAAATAACAGCACACAGTATTATATGAACAGGTTGCAATTCATTGCTTCCTTCATCGTCAATGAATTTGAGTCTCCTCAATTTTTCAAATTTAATTTTTACTTCTTTGGCCATTGGTTTAGGTAAAAAGGTTAGTATTTCTTTTTTCGCGTTGACGCATTCGATCTTGATGCAAAATTCCGGTACCACTAATGATTCTAGCGTTACGTTATATATTTCTACACGTTTATTCACCGTTCCATATAACTTGTTTAATGTTTTTATATTCCTTCCGTGTAGGTTTTAACTTCAGTTTTGTTAACAAGTTCGTCCAAATATAAGAACTTCCAGCACCTGTATCCAACATTATTCTAGCTGTACTTGCGTAAAATATTTTCCCCATGGATTCTTTTTTGTTTTTAACTTTACCATACATTGTTGCATTGACGCTTTGACAGATTAAGGTGTGATGTTTTTTACTACATTTTCTGCATCCTCCCGATTGACAATTTGCTGCAGATTGTCCATAACTAATGCAGTTGTAACATAATCTTTTGTTTATTAAAATCTCCTTGCGTCTTGCAACGTTCAGCACCTTTGTGCAATCTTCTCTTTTATGATTTGGTAACCCATAATAAACACATCCATGTTTACTAAGACTTGTTATCATTGCTTTAACATAGTTACCTCTATTGTATTGCTTGAGTGCAGTATTTCGTTGTTAATAAGACTGTACATTTGCGCTCTTTTTCTCTCGCATTTCAATCGTTTATCGCTTATGTTGAAAGCTGATTTCAATGGATTTCTTTCAATGTATTTTTCCAGTTTTTTGATAAGTTGCTCAAGTCCGCATTCTTCCCATCCGTCATCGTTTTGTGTTACTAATTCACGGACTGGTCCAAGTTTTTCCATTAACAAATACATAAAAGATTGTGCAATTTACAGTTTGTGCATTTCTAATCAATGCTCATACTGTTCTTGCAAGTTTTTTATAAAAGTTATAAACTTCTTTGATTTTGTGCGTTTTGTTTATAGTTATTTCTTCAAGATCTTAAATTAACACTTTGTGAACACAAATGTCTTTTCCATAAGTGTCTTGTAATATACATTTTGCTTCTTCGTATCCGTCCAATGAATGTGGTAATCCAATTAGCAGTGGCGCGTTTCGTTCTATGCATTTAATGTTTTTTTTATCATGTTGATCTCTCTCTCGTGAATTTTCTCAGGTTCCATTTTTGCTTATTCGTAGATTCCTTTTATGTCAAGATATGGGCAGCCATCTTTTAATGTAAAGATGTCATTCACAACAATTCATCACTAAGTAAATCCTTTTCCACTTTCCAATTGGTATCTGAAGTAAAAAATTATTTGGAATAGAAAGTGTTCTGTCATTTCATTTTGTTAAATTTCTGTCCTTTGCTTAAATAATCCACTTTGCTTAAATAATTCACTGGTCCATCCACTAATAAAAATTGACCAAAGTCTTTTTGATACGTCCTACCTAATGTAGAGACGATCCATTTTTGGTGCTTTGAGCTTAGAGAAGACTGACTCAATGTAAATTGAGTTTGAAGAATGGTTGAGTTGATGGCTATATATTGTGATATATATCACAATTTTGGCTGCGTATGGACACTAACAAAACCAATTATAACACATTCGTGCAACCAATTTAATACCTGTGAAGTATAGCGTGTCAGCGGTAAACGAAACACAGTTTTGAATTGATGGTACATTTCTTCTGAGCCAAGAACAACAACAATTCAACGGTAATAAGATTGAATGTGCTTTAATGATGTGTATACATCATTACAGCCATAATACTAATGATAATGGTATAGTGCTGCAGTAATATACTTTTACCAGATGTTACCAATAGTTAAGTACTCGACATCCAGTATTGGCAAAAAATTATTATCCAAGACAAATGCCAATGCAGAACCAATATCGGCTACCAGTCTACCTCATACTTTACACTTGCAACTTTCTCTATATGATATCAAAAGATGATATCATGATGACACCATAATGATACCAAAAAAAGTTTTGAAAGTGTGGAGTTCAAATAGATAAAATTCGTGGATGTGGCAATTAAAAACTCGTTTGGGGTAGTAAAGTACCCCACCGTTCTTTAAGTATTTAATGGAGCCATAAATGAAAAAAAATTCACATTCAAAAACTTTGACATATAACACTGTTGCGCTATTAGGTTTATGTTATGTTCTTAGAGTAAATTTGGCAAATTTAGTCAGGTTTTACTTAAACGAATAAAATTTACAGTAGAGTAAATTTTTATTTCCTGTTAAAAAACATTTTTTTATTCATTACAATGTCTAATTAAGAAAAAATAAAAATGTAGTTATTGAACCGTGTTTTTATGGTAAAACGAATATATCATGAAATTTTTATTGTAATTGCACCTCTAAGTCTAGAGATATTGTATTTTCCGTTATCATGTATCTTAAAAATCTACAAATGGCAAAAAAAATTGACAAACTTTACCAGTTAACTGCCAACCACCATTCTAGTAAGTTGGTTGTATTTCTGATATATTTTCTGCAACTGAGCAACATTTTTTTATAGTTTTAAGGGTTTTTTTCTGTAGCATTCTTTTTTTAGAAGATCTTCTCCTCATATTTCTGATTCGATCGTTATTTTTTTCAATAAATTGTTTTCTCATAAAATGTCAGAAATTTTTTTTCAAATATTTGCAAACTTTAAAAACTTTGCAAACTCAGCAGTTTCATTAAACTGTTATACTGCTGATGAAATTCCTATATCGAAACCTTTTTTCAGCAAAAATATTTTTAGGGCTATTTTATCTATATTTTACATCTTTTTATTATACATTTATATTTATTTTTTTTATTATAGAATTAAATATATCTGATCTGATATATTTGTATTAAAAAATACAGAAGAGTGATACAAAATTAATAATAATTAATTTTGTATCACTCTTAATATCAAAATTATTCTTATGTAACACCGAAAAAAAAATTAAGTTAATGTAGAATAATGTATTTACAATGTATATTACAAGTATGAACAATGTACTTTTTTAAACTCGGTTTGAATAATCACAAATTGGCTGAGTGAACATTATTATTAGAAAAATATTTTGTAGATTAGTGAGAAGATGCAGATGTAAAAAACTCAGAAAAAGTAGATTGACAGGGTTGACAGGGACAGGGTTGACAGGGACAGGGTTGACAGGGACAGGGTTGCCAGGGACAGGGTTGCCAGGGACAGGGTTGCGTGTAATTTTGTATGTCAGTATAAGTATGTAATTAATTATAAAATTTAAAATTTTATATAATAGATCTCATATAACAGAATTCAAAGCTTCTTGTTGTTTTAGGTTTGTTTGTATTTACATTTTTTGATATTTGACAAACATTTGGAAAACTTTTTATAAAAAATTAAAGCATAATGCTAGATATTGCACAACAAACACATTTTTGGAGTTGCTAAGACGTTGCTAAAGGAATGAATAAGTACTTAGGTTTTAATCTCATATTACAAAGCCATATTATAATAAAGTTGTACATATTTATATAAAGTTGTACATATTTAGAACCAGAATTAAGTTTGACATTTATTGAACTGAAAGCCCTATAATAGAATTTTTTACAATTTAGTACCATAATTTTTTTTGGAAACAAAGTTTGCAAAAAAAGTTATATTTTTTTATGTTTTTAGTTAATTCAAGTTTTTATTTAACTAAAAACTCTTATGTTTTAAAAGATATATAAGAGTTTTTAGTTTTAAATTTTAGAAAATTTTTCTTTTATTTTTATATATTTTGTTTTAGAACTAATATAATTTTTAACTAAGTTAACTATATAATTTTTTGTTTAGAAAAATATTTATGGTTTTAATATATGTAGATGGTTTCCCTAACATAATTTCCCTAACACATAATGTTGTATGAATTTTCCACATTTTTTTTTTTAATGATTTGAAAATATTTACAGCACAGCATCTGTAAAGAGGTTCAGAAAATTCAGCTCCACCATCTCTGAATACATTTCTACATATCTCTTTCCAATTGAAATATATTTTTTCAGTGTGATTTGTATTTTACCAAACAATGTTTCTGTATGTTTAGTAGCTATGAAAAAAATAAAAAATATAAAAATAAAAAAACATAATACATAATAAATATATAACGACTTGCCATTTTAATAAAAAAAAAGAATAATATTAACTATAAATTATCAATATGTATAGTAAAAACAGTAAAAGTTTTAATATCGAACACAACAGTAAAAGTTTAAATATCGAACACAACAGTAAAAGTTTTTATTTAAAAATATTCACTTTGGAACAGTAAAAACAACGTAAAAATATAACTAGTGGGAACTTCACAAGTTTTTTATGTTGTTTTTACTGTTCCAAAGTGAATGTTTTGTTAATACATTGTACTTCATTTTTGACGCATTGTCACTGTTTTATATTGGACTTATTGAAGCAGCCTTTTTTCGCGCGTGTTATTAAATATTATTTTTTAAATTATAAGTCGCCTATCTTAAAGTTTTTTTTATATTTAAAAGCCTTTATATTTAACCATTATAGGAATTTTTTTAATTACAACGACACAATATTAACTATTGTTTTAAATCCATAGTTACGGAATTACTTGTTTTATGATCATGGTTGCTTACAAAACATTTTTTTAACAAATAGAAATTTGATTGAACTCTTGTTTAACATTTTAAAATGGTTTCTAAAAACATTGCTGAAAATTTTTTAAAGTCGACTCAAAAATTAGCATTCGACGTAAAAAATTATTTTCTTGGTAAATCAAATGAGGAAAATTATGAAACGATGTCGTTAAATAGCTTACGAAAGAAGTCTATTCTTAAAAGTAGTGTTAAGGTAAATACTCCAAATATAATAGTAGACTTTGAAAAAACGAACGAAAAAACACCTATTGACAGTTCAAGGAACCTAATAGTAGATCCAGATAACTTGTTTCGGAAAGGACCTATACCAATTGAAAAGCTGAGCTTTAAAGATCAAACTCATCTTTCATTAAAAGCATGTTTAAAAGAAATGAATGACAATGAAAAAAGTTTGTCTAGTGTAAGAGAAGCATCAGATCCAGCAAGCGAAATGCTGCTTCATTATTTTGCAAGGTAAGTCTTTATTCTCTAATTTTTGTAACAAGTTTTTGTTATCAAGGATATATTATATCATTACGTTGATAAAAAAAAAAGCTATATTGTTTGTTTAAATAGGATATATATATTAAAGATTGTATTTTTGTTTTTTAACATGATATTTTAATCTTCTTATAAAACGCACTAATATTTTGTTATGTTTTTTACTTTTACTTAGTGACGTAATTTTAAGTATATATAACTAATTATAATAACTAAAATGAAAATAATTTTAAAATTTTCCAAATTTGCAATTTAAAAATATTTAGTTTAAATTTGAATGAGGGAGAAATTCTAACATCTTGGATTAAAGCTTTCGTTTGGTTTTAAATTTACGTCGATTCTCCTCAGTGTGAATATTATTTATAATCTATTTATTTTCTCTCATTTGTTTTTTATTTTTATATATTTATAATTGTATTCTCTCCTTTTTGCGGAGTTTCTTTAAAAAAAAAGAACCGGTTGTTGATAATCAGCAATATCATTAAGGGTAGTTTTGGTTAAACTGTTTTAAAGCACTTGATGCTTCTGGGTTTTTTTTTGACACACTGTTTCAATAGCCTTTTTAAGTCTTTCTCTTTGTTTTATTTGTCAAGCCGATTCACGAATCATCTGGAAAGAATGTCAGAATATCTTTAATTTTGTAAAAAATGTCACATTTTTGTAATTTTATATTTCAAAAACTTTAAAAATAAAATATACATTTTATATTTTAATGTCTTTGTATTAATCCATAAATAATCTTTTAATGGGAGTGGAATCACCCCCACTTAAAAAAGGCAAACAATTTTTATTAACGTTTTATTAACGTTAGAACGTTAATAATTGTATAATAACATAATATAGAAATTTTGTACGTTAATAAGTGTATAATAACATAATATAGAAATTTTGTACGTTAATAAGTGTATAATAACATAATATAGAAATTTTTATTCTGTCATAACAGAATCTTCGATTCTGTTATGACAGAATACAAAGATATTAAAAAATAAAATATAAACTTTTTAAAAAAAGTTTTAAAATATAGAATTATAACTGCCTCCCATTTATGTTTTAGATTACTACTTCCTGTTAAAAATATTTAATTGACTTTATTTAATCATTTCTATTTTGTATGTGTTCAATTTGTATTTTCATTTCCTGTAACAACTACATTTAAGCTCAAAAAAATCTTGTATTTATATACACATATCATAAATGGAATGATACTGGGAAACTTTATGACACTGGAAAGTGGAATGTGTATTTTGTACTAACTTCGGAAGGCCTATCATTGGAAGGCTTTTTTTTTTAAAGAAAGTTGTGGAAACCTCCGGAAAAACCGTCAAAGTAATCGAGGAGGTGATAAGAAAAGTTTTTTAGAAAAATAAGAAATTTTCAAGTTTTCTAAAAAAATTAAAAAAAATTCTCAGTTTCATAGTATTACTAATTTATTGTGTTCGCTACATTTCCTACGTTTTTAATAGTTTCAAAATAAAAATTTCTATTCTTTTTTCATTCGTAAAAACTTTTCACAATAAAAGTTGGTTTCAATTGGTAAATAAAAAAAAATTATAAAAAGTTTTTTTATTTTTACTTTTACATGTTTATTTGTTAAAAAGTTGCAAAACTACTTCGGCTTGGTTTCGATTAGCATTAAAATTAAAGTCGTTATAAAAGTTTAAAAATTGAAGATGAAGCATTTAACATGAAACATTGCATGGATTTCAGAAAATTTTTATAAATAAGACAGTCAAACCGCGTACGTGTTTTCTGTCTTGGATACCATACCTGCATACTTATTTTAAAGACACCTACAAATAGTAGTAACATTTTTAATACATTAGTAGTAACATTTTTATTGCCTCCAACAACATTGCAGATGTTGATGTTGTTGATGTTAATAAAAAATCAAAATGCTTTATATAACTGTGCTAAATTTCTTCTAAGTTTTTTTTGATTTTTTATACAAAATATCAATTAAGTGATGACCATATTAGGCAATTGATATTGCTTGCACTCAAATAATCCAGACAACCAGAGGTTTCAATCTTTTATATTAACACGTATAAAAAAATGTTTTAATATTTTGAAATAAAAGCTTAGATCAAAAAACCCAATTTTGTAAACTCTTTATTATAAATTTAACTTTTTTTCTTCTACTTACCAATAATAAGATCTAATAATAAGAGAATAATAATATACTAATAAAATATATACTTATAAATTATACTAATAAAATATACTAATAAAATATATACTAATAAATTATAATAATTTTCACATATTTTTGCCTATAAAACGTAAACCAATGTCAAAAATTGAATCACAAAAATGCTTTACAGATGCTTTGAAGATTTTATAAAACTTAACAAATCTGTTTGTCCTGTTGCTTCAAAATGTATTAGGAACAAGGTCCCCTAACCCTGACGGATTTTTAGTCGGCAAATTTGACCCTTAGTCGGCTAATTTGACCCTTTTTGACTAGTTAGTCGGCAAATGTAGACTCTGTAAATAGATTAGTCGGTAAATTTAGACAGTCAGTCGGCAATTGTCGTCATTGCAGTCGGCACATTTTCAAAAACAAGGGCCTTTTTTTATTTTTATTTTATTGGGCAAAAGTTGTAAGGGCACTCTCTACGTGACACCTACTCGCGCCGGCCCTGATTGGGAAGTGAAGTAGTATATTTTAAATACTAATTTACCCCCGTGATCAGTGTAAATGAAAAAAAGTCCAAAATAAGTTATGGTTATAAATCAATTTTTAACAACAGATTATTTAAATAAAAGCTTAATATTTAATGAAGAATGTTTTAGGAGGTCGTAATTAAATTTTATTTATATAATGTGTATAATTGTACAATAGCGACAGTACTTTTGCTAAATCATAATAAATAATATTAAGACTTCGAAAACAAAGATATTTTGAGTGTAATATTTATGTGAATTAATTGTTTCAATAAAAAGTTATTAATCAAATTTGGTAGATTAATTTGGAGAAAATCAAACACAAAGAGACAGTGATAAAGTTTAATAACTTTATTTGTGGATTGAAATTAACCATTAATCGAGACAAACTGAGAACGATTTTGAATATACAATGAAAAGCAATCATTAGCGATACCCCGTATAATTTAATTTGATTTAAAACTTTATTTTCAGTTGAATGTTTACAATAATTAAATGTTTAAATACATAAACTAATTAAAATCAACCCATTAAACTGTATCAGACAATATCAGTTGAAATAAAATTACAATTATCAACCCTCGAAATTAGGAAAAATGAGGTCGGCAATAATTAGCCAACCTCTATCTTTTAGAGGTCGGCATCAGGTCGGTGAAAATTATTTGATACAAAGGTCTTACCATAAAACATAGAAACGAGGTCGGTAATTTTTTTGCCGATCTCAAACACTTTCAGTTCAGCAGTTAGGTCGGCTTTGCAATTATATATATGTATACTTATAAATATATATTACAATTCTGGAAAATTATAAAAGAAATAAAATAAATGACAATAAATATAAAAAATTTATTCTTTTTGACGTAAAAGTAAAGACAAAATAAAAGCTAAAAATAAAATCAAAGTATGTTTTTGACAAATTTTACAAAATCAAGAGTTTTCATGCCATTTTAAAATGCGAAGTCTAAACAGAAGGAATTTTTTGATAAAAATATCAGACATAAATTCTGGGTTTAAACCAGATTTAAAAACTTCGGTTATTAAAAACCTCAAACCTGTTTAAATAATAAAAAGTTTTTTATTCGTGAAAGAGCGAAACATTTATTATTTGCTTTTCCTCACAGACTTTTTATATGGTCATATAAACTTCAAATTCTTATCAATTGTAAACCCGAGAAGTTTAACCTCAGAGGAAACAAAGATCTTTACATTTCTAACCATTAAAAATTGACCTTCTCAAGTTTTAAAGCAGACTATAAAAAATTTAAATTTGTGCGGATTTGCAACCAATTCATTTAATTTAAACTATGAAATATTTGATTTGTTAACTTAAAGTTAAAGTAAACCATAAAAAAGCGTTTGAAAAACAAGATTTTCAATCCTACATTTCCGAGCAGAAAGGTACGATAACAAAAGTTTGAGGCTTTCATTAGAAAATCCATAACATTCTAACTCGGCAGTAAGCAAATCATTAGGAATTAAATCATATACCTTCGACAAATCCATAAGTATTGAACTAACGACACCTCCTTTATCCAAACATTTTTGCCACTTTTTAAATAAATTAAAAAGCGCATGCTGTGCACCGTACCCTCTCCAAAATCCATACAGTAGTTTGTTAAAGCTTGATTTGATAAATACCTGTCTTTGCTCATAAATTACCATTTCAAAGACTTTTTAGAGAGCGGGAAGAATACTTATTGGACGGTAGTTAGACATTTTTTTGGTCATTTTTTTGACATGGAATGACATCAGCCATTTTTTAACAGGGAGGTAATTCACTTTGAGTTGTACTATTGTTTATACAGGAAGTAAGGTTTTCTCTTAAACCCATGACATAAGTATTTACCACAAACGTTGGAATATCTTCACTAGTCTTCTTTCTAATTATTTTTAGTGATATCATAGGAAGTAATTTGATGAAATTTAAAATTTAGAGGAAAAAATTTCTTTTAAAATTTAGACTTTTTTCTAATGTTTGTAATACTAGGATGGTTTGCATATCTTTTAACAGCAGATTCAACAGAGTCCTAAACATTGCAAGGAGGAGGCCGATAAATCACACCACTATTTATAAAAGATGATGAAAGTTTGTGAAATACAAGTTGAAAATGTGTAACAGTTGAAAGTTATCCGGTATTGTTTCCCCACCTTCAATCAACGTTATACGCTTGTTTGAATTTCCAGATTTATTTAAGAGGAAAGGCTTACATAACTTTCACAGAGATGTGAAGGAAGACTTTAGGTAAGTTTCCACTAATTCATTTTTTTACCGGAACGGGGATAGGGAAAAATAATCACGTGGGCAT